GACAGTGAAATTTGGCTTGCATATGACATAGCAAACACTACGACTGCGCTGCGGCCAAAGAATTACATAAAATATATACTAAAACATACTTCAATACTTAAACTTCGATACAAATCTCAATAAAAACCCACATCTAACAGTCCACATTCGCAATTTGTAAGGAATACACAGAATGTTCTGGAAATATATCTCTCACATTCATTCCCCGCATAAAATAAGATACAGTGAAGATTTTCACCGCCGACAGCGTCGTAATCTAGTTTATTGATGTTGTGCAAATCTTATTCATTTTACAAGGGATGAACAAGCAAGTACGTAATAATATAACATCAAATAACAAAATATCTCGCGTTTTATTCCCTTTAAAAGTGACAGGAGGTGCATATATTAAATGTAACACCCCTTTTTCAGTACATACATAAACGTTATGAGCTCTTATGTGTTCCTTGTAAGGTAAAGCTGTAAACGGGACATTCGTTCTGCTGTATATGTACTTGAACGTACAATTGAGGATTCTATGCTGTTCCATAATTGAAAAATACTTATCCTGACTTGAAAATCGAATCCGAGAACCCATACTGAGAAGTCGCAGTAGTAGACCTTCGGCCAAAAAGACCCGCCTACATAATAACACTAAAGAATTCAACATATTGCATGTAAAACACAGTAAGATCAGTGAAAACAGTAAGATGGGGTTGGATTTTGACAAGCTCTGTGAGGATTTGAAGACATGACGAGGGTACATTTTGGTAGTCAGATTTGTTCAAACAAAAATACTAACAACAATACTAAATAAAGAAATAATGTTTTGTGACAGGTGCGGGCGTTTGAAAGGGTTGAAATGTTAAAAAAAATATAATAGTCATTTATTTGTTTGACTGTGAAGATGAAATTGGTGCAGTGATGTTACCTATGCTATAGATACAGTTAACTATTTAACTAACTTCTACAAGATGCTATGTGTTATAGCCATGGAATAGTAAAAACTTTATTCCTTGATTTTAGCCTACGACTAATTATTCAACGTTTTATTATCAAAAACAGATGATACTATTCTCCTATCGTTGTTTTGAAATACATCACTTATAATTAGTTACTTTCATATCCTCGACATAAATGAAACATAGGTACTGTACTGCACAACTGTAAAGACCGGTAATATCCTCAACAACATGAGTTTAACATTCAAACTTTTTTCAGAAATTCAACAAATGTATAATTTTCTAGTGAAAATTCAATTTCAAAAAATATTCATAAATCTTTTATATTGCGTTGAAGTTGAGCAATTGCCAACACGTAGCAATTTTTGAAGAGACTTGTCAATAAATAAATTGATTTATTGAAAACTATACCGTCATATTTGAACGTATCGTCATAAAACGTAGACTGTCATAAAACATAGCATCTCACCTGTCTTCAACTGGAGTAGACAGAGAGAAGGGAACGAATCGATAAAACATACGGTTCCATTCGATTTGTGGTCATGGCGGTGAATCTATCAGAAACAGGTATTTTAGTTCACTTTAGCTAACCTATCTTGTGAACCATTGAAGTTTGCTGACATTAATTTAGATTTTACACTCTATCAATACACCATAGTTCCCAGAATCATGACTACACATCTGATTTATGAACATTAATCAGCTATTATTTGTGTACTTCGCAGAAAACGCAAACGTGTAACAAATACGATTATTATTATTATCTACTATCCGTCTGCATTAAATTTAAATATCATTCAGTGCACTCAAGTAAAACTAAATAAACATAACATATTAGGCGAATTAATCAAATCGAGTAAACCAGTTTAAGCTTAGCTAGGTACCCAGGAACTAATTTAAGCATGGTTATTCCTCGAAGGGTCGTGCCCTTGAGAAGGCGACAGAATCCCATTAAAATACCATATCGAATCATAAGTCAACCCATCCTAAATAAATATCCTCTTCTAATAGAAAGTGCTAATAGTGTGAAATTCAATAGCTAAAGCTCTTTTAATATGCATGGAGTTAATGTAACACATCGTGATAGGACCAAATCCCATGTAAATGAGGCTCCAAACTTTCCTCCAAACACCACAGTACTTCATAAAGATACTTTCACATGGAAGACCAATTTCCATGTGTACTTAAGAGTTTAGAATTCGATAAGTTTTATTTACAAGTTAGGATATGATAATTTTTTATACACTTACTGACGAAGTAATAATTTTATGTATGGTTGATACTTACCCTAGTATGCAAAGTATCATATTATTGAAAGTAATTTCAAGAATATGACTCTTTGTCAGATTAGAGTAGTATCGAGACCCTAACTTGTTTTAGATTTTATTTAAATGCAGAAAATGACGCTACAATCTGGTTTTTCGAGATTTAAAGCACTGATGGAAAATATAGATGAAACATAACTTTTTTTTACTCCTTTGAGAATTAGACATCATATAATAGATATTAATTAATGTATACGAAAATATCCAAAGATCATACACAGAATAATCGATGCCAATTGGTCCAGAACCAAAGTAAATAACAGTCTGCCCCTGCATATTTATAATCTTCGAATACAAGCAACAGAAGGTATAACATCTAAAAATACCAACACAACGGACCAAAAAAATAGCTTCATTTATTTGAGAAATGAGAATATGCTGCCGTTATCCAAGTATTGATAACATTATGCGGCTGCTGATTAGACCATTAAGTCAAGCTATTATTGCAGTTCAGAGCGCTTTGTTAGAAGATTCTCAAGAGATTCATCTAACGAATGTAGGCGATATCAACTTGAGTTTCCTTACTTTTATAACTTAATCAAATGAGATAGAACGTTCATAAAATCTTTGTTTTTCTCTTCTAACCTTTAGATAATGTGTAGGATGGTCTTAATTGACTTTTCTATGTAACTTAATGCGTCAGAAAATTTACTTCCAGACTTTAAGTCAAAGTAAATCCTGGTTATAAATAGCTTTTTGTAATACCTGGTTTCAAGGAAATGGAGGAGACTCTGAATATTTACTTTAAAAAAATGTAGTGTAACGTTTCTATATTTATTTACATGTAACTTAACACAATTTTCACGCACGTAATAAAAGGTGTGCTTATATTGAAGACCTTAAGTTTTTTAAGAAATTCTCAGTAGTAGCACGGAGTCTGGAAATGTGCCCGGTATGTGGCAATAGGGTCACCCCATATTACATGGGACTCATAACATGAAAAGTGAGTGTTACATTGTACAATGGCATTAAGTGCCGTATTGCTCTGCCTACCTCGTCGGGGATAAAAGGCGTGATGTTATGTAAAATACTAAACACTATATCACTAACAAAACAGAAATCTTAAAATCTAATAATACTTTGATCCTGGAACTACCAGATCGTTGCAAACAACAAGACTATATAGAGAAGGTTCACTTACAAAAATGCGTTTATATGTGAGTGCACTCTATGCAATGTAACATCATCATTTTATGTACCTACATATATTATGTAACAGGCAACTCTTGAACGATAATACATTATGTACCTGACAACCCTTGCTTGTCAACAACAGCAACTTGATTGTCATATAAATGACAATAATTTCCGATACACTGACACGGAGATATGCATAATAATGACGACGGTAAATAATGTTTATTTTATGCAAAATTGTTCCATAACCAAAATGAATGATTACAGAAGTTAACCACAAATTTCGAATAAATCATTTAAACCCATAATATTCGAAAATGAATCACATTTTATGTCAGTATCAGTATCAGTAACTACATTACTCTGTGTTACTTTTTTTAATAATCGGTCCGTTATCTGTAGTAATCAATTCTGTTGATTGATGATATTAGTCTCATCGTTAAGTATGTGCATGTTAAACTGATCAGTAAAACCCTGATTAATTTTAAGCTATCACTAATACTCTAATCGACTACATTGGTCGGACTATATCAAAGTCCCATATTTTTAACAAAAGTGTAGAATACAAAAATATCTAGAATTTTATAGGTACATAAATAAATGCCACTGTTGATACAGTTTTTGACTTAAATCTACCGATATTGCTTGAGATAGATACTTTTTGTATAAAACAGAATCAGTCTTTAGCAGCTTTAGTAGTACTATTGTTTAAGAAAGGTGTAGTGATAAAAAACTACAAATTCGTATCATTTTTATCTCACATACTACGCTTTAAATCCACTCAATTAAAATACCTATATTCCTAAAAGTATTTCCGTCTGTACATCACACTAACAAAGACTACAAGTATTGGTAAGGTAAATCAAAAATGGCGTCTCTCTCGAGTAAATACCAAATAGATACTACAAAAACAAATGACTTTCTATCTCTGTTTTCTCACCATAGTCGTCTTCACATCACCTTGCTTAGGATCATCTTTCACTATACAATTTTTTTTTCTACTTCTACTCTCATACTTTATTCGTCTACAACTATTTAAAATACCTTTCAAATGTAAATCATCTCCTTACATGAACAAAACCATTAGTTCATACGAATTAGTTTTAAAAATCTTTACTGCCATCACCAAGATAGTTTCTAACCAACCTAGATAAAATGGAGTCTTTCTCATAAAAAATACACTTTTACTCTTTCAAGAGATTAATAATAAAAAACATAGTGTATCTTAAACCTACTTCATGCCACATATCGTAAAAAAGTATATAAAAACGAGGTTGGCAACCTTTTTTTATTTTACTGCTTAGTAATTTGTACCGCGCAATATTTCAGCATATTAGGGTTAAATCAAATGTTTTGTATGTGAATTCTACACATACATTATACATGGGTGAAGGAAACATGGTATTAGTTATTCATATTTAAAGTTAAAATCATGATTCGATTACTTAATGTATTTTTAGAGTTTTTCATTCATATTCATAATAATGAAAATAATTACTTTAACCATTCTGAATACAATAATATAAAAAGGATTTTCTAATCTTTATTTAAATCTATACGTTCACTTATTTACTTTAAAAATGAAACGGAAACTCACCTTTTATTAAAAACGTTGCAACAACGTATTTTAAGTAGCGAACAAACAACGGAGGCATTTTGTAGCTTACTGTACTTGCTTTAAATATAAAAAAAAACTTAACTTAGCACACTTATTTCATACTAAAAATTTTAACGGCAAAGTATCATAGTATTTTATTCAGTCTACGAACAACTATAATTGCAAACGAACTACTAAACATATTTGTTTCAAAAGTTAATTTACTAAGTATTTTTATTAATTTTCTATTTTTGTTAAGACAAAAAACTAGATTTATATAATAAAATATTTACAACGTTCATAAAAATATGTGATTAACGACGCGAGTTAAAGTTGCGTACGTATGGCGGGCTTGCTACGGCATCGCGTAGCGGCAGCGGGCGCGGCAAACGTAGCACTGAAACTTGCTACGGAGCTACGCGGCTACGAGACTACGGCTACGGTGGGGAGCTACCGAGCTTCAGTACCGAGTTTACCACCGATGCTTTTATCGATAAATAAACGGTTTTGTAAAACAAACATTCTTTAAAGTCTTTTTAATAAGCGCCATTGTTAAGATTCTGTTGGTGGATTTAAGATAAAGGCGTTGTAATGGAAAATTTGAGAGATAAGAATAAAATAATAAATATAGGTAAGAACAAGATGAAATTGAAAATGATTCGTTGCTAGGTGTGAAAGATAACAAGTTGATATTAATTTGATGTTTAATAAGGATAAAATTACTCTTTTTTTTAATTTAATATAAATTAAGTTTTGTTTGAACTTAATTAATTTCATTTTTCCAATAATTTTATCTGTGACCACGCTAAGCTGTTCCCTCGTTAAGTGCCGAGACTGATTGGTTCCTACGCGGAAAATCGCGGGTATTTTTATATCTGAAGCAAATATTTATAACGCCTACACAACTATTCCGGAATAATAGTTTGAACAAACAGAGATTTGATTTAGTAAATACACCCACGACACAGTCGAGTGTGTGACTTTATGCTGGGGAAAATCACGTCTATAAATAAACAAGTATAAAATAATAAAAAAGAAAAATCTTTTATTTTCACGGTCTATAGAGTGTTAGGAAACAGTACCAACTTAAAAAACGATGTAAGTAGTAGACACACGAGTACAAAAATACAATAAAATAATACATCCACAAATACAGCACAGATTATTATTAGGAGTTTCATCAAGCCCCACGTCTGATATGCAGCTTGATAAATCTATCTATTGTAGGCCCTTCTAGCCATCCTGCAAACACCTTCAGTACGTTGTTGCTGCTTACCCTCAGTCTGCGCAACACTGATGCCACTTTTTTGCGCATGATCGCAAAATAATCATCAGTGTGCGCACACTGATGATGCGCATCCGCGAACATACTTGACGCACTACAGTAAGGTGGAAGCCTTTTTTTATACCACGATAGTGGCAAAAAAGCACACGGCCCATCTGATGGTAAGCTATTACCGTGGCCTATTGCCAACCCAACAGCGCCCTGTTATTATTAACCTTGTTTGTTTTCTCTCTAAATTATTTATATAAAACGGATGGTGGAATTACAATTTTATTACAAAAATAAAATTGTAATTCCACCATCCGTTTTATTTAAAAATAAAATCAAATTAATCCGTAAATAAAATAATATCACGCCTTTTTATCCCCGAAGAGGTGGCAGAGGTGCACATTTCGGCACTTAATGCCACTCTACAATGTAACATCCACTTTTCACTATTTATGTTATGAGTCCCATGTAATGTAATAGGGGGTGAGCCTATTGCCATATACCGGGCACATCTCCAGACTCCATGCTACTACTGAGATTGTTTTTGCCATAGATAGATAAATGTACCACATTTTTCGCCGAACATAAATATAAAGTAATATAACGTACCCACAACACAGCAATCTTAGTGTTTCATACTTTAATAGATTTTTAACTCTATTGTTAAGTACTAAAGTAGAAAATATCTTAAATCTGTACAATAAAACTGTACACCGAGACATTATGGTAGCACTTAAAATATCTACCATTCAAAAGTTGAGACCTTAATACTTTCAGCTATTATTGAGTTTATTTAGTTTTCAGTTCTTTAAGTAACGTTTCACTTTTCAGTTATAAATCCAAGCATTCATATTGTACATTTATAATACTGAAATCTTGAGTTTCAAAGTTTTAATGCATTTTCAACAATAAATCTATCTTTTTTCAGGATCACCTGTTGGTAAGCAATTGGCGTCACCCATAGACACCTGGGACACCAGAGGCGTTATAAATGCGTCACCAGCGTTTTGGGGATTAGGAGTTTGAGGATTGTTAGGGATTCGGGGATTTAGGAAGGGGGATCATTGGGCTTCCGGTAACCTCACTCACACGACGAATCACAATGGAAGCGTTGCTTCACGTCAGTTTTCTGTGAGGCCGTGGTATCATTCCGGTCCAGCCGGCCCATTCGTGCCGTCACTAGGTTATGTATGTATGTAAATTTTTGCTCTGCAACATAATTGTTAGTTTTATTTAGTGAAACTTTTATATAATGAAGGAACAACAACCCATTATAATGTTATCCATGTACGAAATGGTTTCACTGTAAAATTTTACATAACATGTGTAGAACTCAATACTTCTATCATTTCTAGTGTTATTTTTTTGTAAACATTTCCCCAAACTACGATTTTCTCCTGTATCATGGGTGCGTTTTCAAACATACAAATTCACATACATTTGATACCTAGACTAGAAACAACAATTTGTAACTCAAACAAGGAGTTGCTCCGTGCGGGAATCGAACCCGCTACATGTTATGCGGCAGCCGATGCCCAACCAGCGCACCAACCATGCATTCAACGTCAGTTGTCTATTAATAAACTTTTTCGTTTCAAGTTCTCTTAATTTTTCTCTCCGTTCATTAACGTTTCGTGTGTCTAAACGCGATCACGACACGATCCACGCGAGATTCGATGTATTTTCTATTGTGTGTCATATCGATGCATTCAAGCGGTTAATGTTGCTTTTACAATAGATGACTAATTTTTATTTTAATGTCTGTCTGGTAGATTATTTTAAAACATTACACACTTTGGATGATATATTGATTTGAAATGTCGCGTGACGTCACTTCTATGTACATTTTATACATAGAAATGACGTTTTAGCCGCCACTCCTAAACTTTGATTCGTTTTATCTAAGTATAATTTTATTATTATCATTACCTAACTGACGGACTAATTAGATTTTTAATTTTCATACACTGTCATCATCCCTATTCTCATACTCTATTTTTACACATAATCATGGAACCACTCGGCAGTATGGTAAAATAAGATTGTCTCTCACCACTTACTCCAGTCATTGTTTACTTTGTTAAAAGGAAAGTGAAAGCGATACTGTTTCCTGATTTCATGAAAGGACTGAAGAGAAAAGAGAAGCACTTAATTTAGTTACAAGTTTTATTATAACAAACAATTAACTTTTTTGTATTTAAGACCATTTCGTTTTACCATAACATAACATAATTTCACGCCTTTTATCCCCGAAGGGGTAGGCAGAGGTACACATAACGGCATTTAATGTCACTATACAATGTAATACCCACTTTTCACTATTTTATGTTATGAGTCCCATGTAATAGGGGGTAAGCCTATTGCCATATACCAGGCACAATTCCAGACTCCGTGCTACAACTGAGATTTTTTAAAAAAAAACCAAGTGATACTTTGCCCGACCCGGGAATCGAGACTCCATGCCCGGTAGTCGCACTTGCAACCACTCGGCCAATGAGGCAGTTTTGTTTTATTTCGAAATATATGCAAATTATGAGTCCCATCGTATAGAAAACATGCCTATTACCATACATAAGTCATATTGAAACAATTGCTGAGCCTGTACCAAGCACAGGTTCGGTCCTGTATGGAGTACTGCTCTCATCTTTGGGACGGCTCGGCTAAATATCAGCTGGACACGTTAGAGCACATTGAGAGGCGTGCCAGGAGGCTCATCGACGATGATGCGCTTGTGAAGGCTCGGCTTCAAAGCCTCGAACACAGGCGTAAGGTTGCAAGCCTTTCGGTTTACTACCGGATACATTTCGGGGAGTGTGCGGGGGAATTGCACAACTTGATTCCCCCTAGTCCTTTCCATCATCGTACCACAAGACAATCCGCGAAGCGTCACCGATTCATGGTAAATGTTCCGCCCACACGCACGAAGCGCTTTGCTTCAAGCTTCCTTGTGCGTACTGCTAAAGAGTGGAATTCTTTGCCAGAGTCTGTATTTCCTGAAGGGTATAACCTGGGAGTCTTCAAGGCCCGAGTGAATAGGTTGCTTATGGGACGACGTGCTCCAACGTAGACCGCATCATCGCTTACCAACAGGTGAGATAGTGGTCAAACGTCGCGCCATCAATTATAAAAAAAAAAAAAAAAAAAATTGAAAAGTGTAATTGGTATTCGTAACATTCTATTCAAATAAAATAAAGAAATAATTTAGTTTTTATAATTTCATTATGTCGTTCTTTATCACATATGTCAGATAAAAATCTATAAAACCCTTTTACGTAAGAAGTCGGTTAAAAAAATAGAAAACGTATACTTAGCTTCAACGCAGTGAGCATGTAATAGTAAGGGACTTTAAAACTCTGGGAACCAATTAACAGAGGTCGCCGTTGTCGAAGCGGCAAACCCGTCCACTTACCGATTTGCCGGGTACCGCACTCCTATACGGCTCTTAATCGCTCAGCTGATACGGGTAATTATCGCGTTAAGAGGAACCAGGTTACGTACGTGGATAAACAACTACATAAAACCTAGGGAAGCTATTTTCAACTTTAAGTTCTTTATTCTAACCCAACTTTTAGCCTTTTTCTTCCGAGTCTTCTCTTATTATCACTTTCTTTTTCATTCTTTGTTTACTACTACTTTTTAGGCTTCATATCCCCTCGTATTAAACGATTTTATTGGAATATTAAAACCGTAAAACCAGTGTCTTGTTACCTAATTTCAATCCTGAACTATGCGTAACAAAGGTCATATTTTTTTATAGCATAAGCTGGTAAACGAGCAGACGGATC